TTCTTCTTCTTCTTCTTCTTCTTCTTCTTCTGTTTTCTAAAATGCCAGGCCAATAAACATTTTCTTCTGGCGATCGCATCTTCTCCTTCTTCTGGGCTGATTTGAGGTTTCGGGGTTAGCAAATGTAGTGTGCATTCTCCCTGGAATTTAGCGCACACCCGCCTTTATGCTTGGGCGGATCCTTTTTTGCGTACCTTACACTACTTGCGGTTTCTGACCAGAAGGAAAAAGTTTAGACAAATTCTGAAACTGACTGCAAACAGAATGACTGAACATGTAGGATCAAACGCTGTGAAACAATGTGCACCTGTGGTAAATTAACTGGCAAATGTAAGGGAGCCACCAGCATGATGAGGGCCAAGTCTTGAATCGAAGTCGAATGTAAAGGGCACCTTCATTTCGGCACGAGGAGGGAGGCAGGTGCAAGTTCTGCAGGAAGGGGGGTAATCTGTTTATCGTTAAAGACGCGGTGGCTACTGGCGGGGCCAAGCCATGTCATGGGAATTTTCAGTCGAGCATGGGAAAGAAAGAGGGGAGAGGAGTGTGTGTCCGGGTGGTCTGATGCCTTGGGCAGCTTGACCCCTAAGTCGCTGTACAGCCTGTAATGTAAACAAATGTTTGTGCCTGCTATTTTTCTAAAGCTACCTATTGAATTGGGATTAATTTTGCGCGTCCTGAGTATGAAAAAACAAAAATGAAAGCATTCATGACTAGAAAGGTTAACAATTTCTTGACTGCCATAACAGTTAGGGGAATGATCTTCCGGTTATACGGCCTATGTCTAAAGGTGCCTGCTTTGAGTTGCCTGACGTCTGCGTAGTCGAGATTTTTCGAGCTGCTTTGGCCAGAGTCGTTACATCATCCGCAGTGCAGTTGTCCTTGGAGTGGGGAACGTTGGCCAAAACAATGAGGATGGAGCCTAAATAGCCCGCGTCATTAAGGTAGTGTGCCTGAATGTCTGTTGCGTTCTCACTTCCACAAGTGTGCGTCTTCTTTGAAACAGACAGCATCCTCCTAAAGAAAATCTGATGAGAACAGAAGAAGCTACGGATTTACGCGTTTTTTCCCTGCATCTTACACTCACCTCCATTTATGATTAATCTAGCCAGGCTAGATCAATATTGTTAATACTAACCTTGTTGAATGAATTTTGTGACTGACCTAAAATAGTCAAATCAAGGGTTACTTTTCAGGGAAGCATGTTCCCTGCTGTAAAGGCATGCGTACACTGCGGCCTGACTACAATTTAGCAGTGAAAAAGGAAATTGGACGAATGAAAAATTGAAACGTTGTTTTCCCGGAAGGAATTTTAACAAGGCAAAGATCACGAGTTGAGCAGAATTTATTGACGTCATAAAATTTCGTGAACTCTAATTAATCTGCAAACGGTCATTGCCTGTTAATATAGTAAATTAACTGCAGCATCAGCTTGCCCAATGGCTAGTCCAACAATTTGAGCCTATTAGATACAACCTTGTTGCTCACGCGACCAAAGACACCTTTTCATTTGTAGACGAGCTGAAGAACCAAAGTTTATGTAATAAGTACATGATATCACTCGACGTGCAAAGTCTGTTCACAAACGTGCCATTGGACGAAACCATTGACATACTTTGTGAGCATGCGGCTGAAACATGTCTGGGAGCAAGCCAACTACGTCAACTACTACAGATATGCACAAAGAATGAGCAGGTCCTGTTAAATGGACGGCTGTATCGACAGATCGACGGTGTAGCTATGGGCAGCCCACTAGGAACAGTCCTAGCAGATATTTTCATGTCGAACCTTGAACGAAAAGTGACCAAACACATAGAAAAGACTGCTTTTTATCGATGATACGTGGATAACTTTTTGTTATAGTCGAAAACCCTAAAGAGGGCGAAGTGCTACTTAAAGCCATGAACGAAGCACATGCAAAGATCAAATTTACTATCGAACATGAGAAGGACGACACAATGGCGTTCCTAGACGTGCTTCTACGCAGGCGGGCAGATGGTTCCATTCAAAGGTCCCTCTACCGGAAAACCACATGGAAAGGGCAATACATACACTTTCTTAGTTTCGCTCCAATCCAGAGGAAACAAAACTTGGTGTTTTGCTTTTTCAATAGAGCTGCTAGAATCTGTTCTACGGATACGATCGATGAAGAGATGTGTTTACTCAAGAAAGTGTGTCTTGGAAATGGCTATCCTGAGAAATCCATAGATAAGTATAGCAAACGCAGACAAGAAAATTCAACCAAAATATCCATGACAAAAAAGCCAGTGAGCATCTTCCTCCCCTTCAAGGGCGATAATGTGTCCAACGTGATCAAGCGAAGGCTTAGATGTACGATTGAAAGAACTTACCCCGCCTCCAAATTTTTGTACATAAGCACAACAACGGCTATTCCAGTAAGACCAACCAAAGACACTCGCCGATGCACGCCACCTCAAACTGCGTTTACGAGTTTACATGTAGTTGCGGATGCAAATACATCGTGCGCACGCAAAGGCAGTTGGCAACACGGTCAGCTGAACATATGCCGAAGTGGTTGCTCAGGGCGGAAAATAAAATACCTAAGAGTTCAATCACTAAGCCTTTAGTGGATACTGGCCGTACAGTTGACCAAAAGACCGCGTTTAAGGTCGTACTTCGGTCGGTGACCGGACGTCTCCTACGATTTGCCGAAGCCGCTGCCATACGCAGAGGAAAACCAGAACTCTGTAAGCAGCTGGATCATGTGATCAACC